TGCCTAAACCGAGAAATAGCTATGATTTGGATTCAGCTGCAGGTATGAAGACAACAATTGGTTATAAATGAAGTCAACTACAATATTAACATCCTCTACTGCTTATGATTTAGTGACTCAACCACTCTTTAAATAAACTTGTAATTCGCAGTTTATTTACTTGTTTTATTTGCTCCTCTTCCATTAAATAAATTAAATATGTCAATCGAGATAAAATCGTACACGTTTACTGTTAGGTACATTTGCCGGGGTAGATCATTTGAAAATATAGTAAGAATACATTATTACAAGTTTATGAAACTGGTATGGGTTCGTTTCTGAATAAATGCATAGCTACATTCGAACTGTGTGCTGTCAATATTTATTTGTGTGACAGCAAAATATTGTAAACGAAATAAAGCACCAAAACAATCAAAAGAAGCGGAGTGGTAAAAAACCAGAAATGGTAGTCTCAGGTATAACTGAAAATTGGTAGGGAATGAGTAATTGACCATTCGAAATATTAGTCGCACATGTTGTGACGTGTTTTCATAGCAATAATTTTCATTCCGTCGCTCTTTTCATCGTTTCATTATTACCAGTAGCGTTTAAAGATTCCTGTAATAGCCAGAATAAAATAATGTAACCCATTTGATTTTGCGGTTATTATGGAAATATTGAGCATATTAATATTATAGTGTTATCCTTGAATTTATTAATAACAGTCACTTTTGATTTGCGGGTTATATCCATTCTTCAAATTATTATAAAGAAATTACGAACTTCGGATTGTTATGAAATAAGAAAATCAATTGAACTTGGAAATAAGAAAAACTAGAGGTTCTTATTATCCATTTGAGCCAAAATACTATGCAATAGTGTTTAATCGAAACGTCTTTCCAGAGTAGACATAATGAGAAAACATATTAATACGTTGATGTAAATATATTGAACAAAGTTCACACAATTAGCGGAAGCATCATTGATTTATTATTATTATGTTTAATTAATTTGTTAGTTTTATTTGTTAAAGATTTGATAACCAAAAAAAGTTTTATTTTACTTCAAGAATCTAATCATTATGCATAGTAAAGTAACACAGAACGTAAGACAGGCGTAAGACTATGAGCTATTTATAAACTGCGTGCGTGATAGCCAAGATTTAGTTGTTAACGTTTAAATCGTATAAGAAGTCGAATGACATAATTGTTAGGATGCTAAATTTGTTACATAATGCCATTGATAATCAAAATTGTCAGTTCCAGCCACAATTATACAGTGTCGGCAAATATCCTAAATTACGTTTATTATTACATAGAAAAGGACATTTATCTTCCCACGTACGTCAAAATGGATCATTATCTAATACCTACGCTTATTTGAGATAAGCACAAATTGCGATCTCGTCAATCTGACGCGTTTGATAACAATCTAATTAACGAAGAGGAAGAATATTCAAGCGATGGTCATCAATAAAAGGAGACATCTTCTGCAACAATTGAAAGATGTTCACTAACGATAGTAATTGAAGAAGATGATGTCAAGAGCCGTCGTTTTTACGTTAGCCCTTTTCTTTGTTACCAGTAACGTGTTTGCGCAATATTCTACTACCTCAACCATCACGTCGGGGGTTACGACTACCTATACGACTGGTAAGTACGCGAACATAAATCATGAATAGACGATAAACGAGGAAAGATCAAATGCGTTAACCAATCGATCCGAATATAGTCTCTCAATCTCCCACCAATACTACTACGAATATGGTCACTCCATCGCCGTCTGGGCAATATCCTACGCAATCTGCAAATGTTACTAGTTCACCAACAGAAATTACTTCATATACTACTGTTACGGAGACTCCATCGACCACAGAAACCATAGTACTGACACCGACTGTTACGAAAACTAGCTACACTACGACTACCGTCACTCCAACCACCGTGACCACTACAGAGACCGCTAGCTATAACGTCACCGAGACAATTTACGTTACTAGCCCTACAACTACGACCTTATACACAACCATCACGACGAGCAAGACGGAAGGAGTTAGTACTGAAACTGCATGGACGACATCTGGATGGTCCACCGTAACGGCAACCGAAACTGCTGGTCGCAAATTGGTGGTGAGGAAGGATGCTGATAACGGCGGTGCCGCTGTGCACCACAGTCGGCATGAGGCCGTGGTCATCAGCTTGCTTACTACTATCCTTTTGGCATGTGTCGGTGCCATGTTGGGTGCTTAGTTAAAGTTGCGAAAATATACAATATTCGTTGTTATAGCCATGATATGTCACTTTATAAAGCTGACTAATAATGTATTTATTAATAAGGGCTAAATAAAAGTATATTTCTACGTATTGATTTACGTCTGTAATTAATTAAAAAGCAATTGCCGCGTACGCCGTCTTATGCGTTCGAACAACAGAACAGATTCTATGTAAATACTCGATGTTTCACGAGTTGAACAACAGATCGGTAATAAAAAATTTTCAGCTAAAATCCTGACCAACCTGAAGCGAAATCATGATTGACAGTATCCCTATCTCACTTGCAACGCAAGACCAAATGCAATGGTTTGATAACTACTACATCATATCTTTCATCTATTATGCCATCGTATTGTTCTTGGCAAAGAAATGGTGACGATATATATGTTGATAATCGTATAACATCTGTGCGCCGTAGCTAGCCTCAAATTGCAGATCCGCAAACGTAATGAAGATCGTTGAGACTTGGCAAGAGATGACGTTTAGCCAAAGTAAAAACGTGCAGTCTGTCCTTTGAATCAGTCTCAACGCCCTACTCGTGACGTCAGCTCTTATCAACGGCGGGACATTACATCATTGATATATAAAAATTCTCATACCAATTACCTGGATCAAAGACGTGTTTTCTTAATAATCGGGGGGTTTTTTTTCTCCGATTCGTAGAAGTTACATCATTCTTGACCACTCTTTTTGATGTTTGCGGCGGGTACTTTCCAGCGTCGTAAACTGTTTTGCTGAATAACTGTGTGACAATATTACACGGTCACATCTTGCGATTTATCGATCGAGAACTCATTAGTACTAGTACGTCTTGATTCGAAATATGCATCGAGTGTCATGCCAAGATGTATAATGAAACAATAGGAGCTTGGCTATCTACAACAACGTCCGATAAAATTCTTTATATTGCAATGACGGTCGTAAATGAATTCATGAGCAGGTGGCAGTTTAATTTTTCTGCTGAGATATCTCTTACGCCGGAAACGTAAATGACGCAGACTGGTTTCTGTATTTCCTGTTAGAACTCTGTAATATAAAGTTCGCTTAGATGAATCTAATTCCTACTATCTTAATGATAAACAAATTTAGCAAACCGTGTGGCTATTTTGCGATTGGTTTGGTTTACGCTTTGCTATAACCTCACAAGCATAAAACTCGTCTGCGCCCGAGAATTAGGGAAATGTATGCTGGCTCTCGCGACAATCGATGTCTACATTCAAGGTTTTGACCAGCGCGTTGATAACGGTGACGTTGCTAACAATAATACTAGGATGAGTGAGATTTGATCTATTGCTAAAGAAAAAAGATTATTTTTGTGTCCGATTTTATTACAAATAGACTATTTATATAAAATTGAGCGGTTGTCTTGTACTATATATAGTCAAGTTTATCATTGAATAGCGCTAAGTCACATGAAACAATCGTATCAAGGCTTAAAGCGTAAATACTGGTATTCATTAGCCCCCATAGTCGCTTAACTTGTTGTAGTTTGCGAAGCTTGTTATATTCAAGAATTTCATTCTCCATCACTATTATTCAATACAATATCTAAAATGCTGCAAACTTTTTCAACTTTCCTCTCTTCCGGAAAGTTTAGCCAACAATTTGATGAATATTTGGCTTCAATGCCACATAGTCGTCGGGAAAGGCCTTCATATCATGTGAGTTAGCTCATGAAATACTACAATTACGGAAATTGCCATCATCATTTACCATTATATATTAATGAGAAATGAATCATAGATCACTAGTCATTATAGTTGGGTGCCCCGAACACTAATACAGAAGTACAAATAGGCTAATTCTTACGGAAATGCGCAGTGTTGCATTCAGATTCAGAATACGTCAAGAGTAAGTCTTGATTTTACTTCCAAATTCGTTCCATCGAAAACACGTTCTTTGCCAAACTCGGTTCAAGAAATAATTTCTTCACTTTGGGACTAGCGTCTAAATCATACTGAGTTTAGTTTCTGAATAAAAAACCCTCTCGAACCACATGAATAGTTACCTCTCCAAGAATGATAACCTCTCGCATAGTCGTCGAGGAAGTTGTTGATGAAGCAGTTTGTAAAAAATTCAGCTACCAGCTTTACCAACTCGATGAGAAAATAGTGTTCCCTGTTTTATGGTTCGATTATTGTTGATGCTTTGGTTGCACAAGTGTGACATTTGAATAGTAATGGTAAACATTACACCGCCTTTGCCTCTATATATGGCAACAGATAGAATTTTACATCCATTGTAAAACTACTACTATTGTAAACTTTCTCGATCCACTTTTTGAACATGGATAAGAGTGCTGTCTTGATAGCACTAGCCGATGACACGCTCCTGACTATATCTGAGAGGAACCGATGCAAGTCCGAGAATATTGATCACGAGTCTCACGACATTACGATACAGAAGAATTTCGAGAGACTGAGAAATGGAATAAAGACGCTGGAGCGAGATTTGTCTGCCGCTGAAGAATCGGGCAGCCTGTACGTATGAATAGAACATAGCAGAGAGAGATACTATCGCCTTTGTTCTTTACTAGACTGCTTCAAAATTCTCATTAGGAGCTCGAAAGAGTTGAAAGAGAGAGAAGATAATCTTATCAGGCTTACAAAGCAAGTCGAGAGTTTAGAATCGCTCATGGGAGAAAATCATGACATAAGTGCTAGGTAGGGAAACATACGTTGTACGTGTTACGGGGTCATGTCGAGCTAGTTCTACATGAGTTTTGAACCCATTTTTGTATGTTACAGAGAACTCCTGCTTGGGTTGAATGCATCCACAGAACCACGAAAGACAAAAACTGTAAGATTCTCTGATCAGATTGTAGAGCCAGATGAATTGGACAATTCTCAAGTACTTCAGTTACAACAGAGAATCATTCAAGGTAAAAATACAACTACAAATCTGTCATTAAACATATTAACATTCTTCGACTGTAATATAACGTTTTGAAATAATACTCTTTTGTGATTGTAGATCAGGATGCAGATTTAGATCGATTAGATGTGGCAATAGGACGTCAAAGAGAGATTGGTCTCAGGATTGGTGAAGAGCTGGATTATCATGTCGAGTTGTTGGAAGACACAGAGAGTCTAGTTGATAGAACTGATTCTCGGTTAAATAAAGCCAAGAGGAATCTTGGTAAAGTTTCACGAAAAGTAAAGGAGCATAGTAAGTCATCGTCTTCCTATATCAGTTAACGATCTACATTGATTTAGTTGTCGTTTGCTAAATTCTTTTTTCTATATTTAGAGCTAGGCTGTTTGGTATTCCTGCTTATTTTGATTCTTTTTGTACTCGTCGCTATTTAATCCTTGAGGCAATACTAATAGCTTATAATTAGAAGATTTATGTGTGTTAATATCTGTATATTATCGTGTTGTTTATTTATGGTCGCAACTTTTGTTTTAGACTATATATTGATGATTGTAGTTACAATAACCATTAAAAACTCGTCACTGCTATCGGACAATGACACATCAGAATGGTATATCAGGTGGTATAAAGTCTCCTTCGTATCTGTTATAATACGGTTGCGGGGCTGTACGATAATATGGCCAAGCATACCAAGGATGAGTCCAATGGTAGCCATGATACGGATAATCCCAATACTGGGACGAAATTTCCGAGTTTGCTTCTTCGTCTTGTTCGTTGTCATTGGGATCGTCATCATCATCAGTGACATCTTGCATACAAGCTTCGATATTTTCACTTTCAGGCTTTGTTAATATTACTGGAATCGCGTCGCCTTCCATCTTCAATTCACAAAATGATTTGTCAACAACATTGATTTTCAAGTTAATTATTACCATTGGATGCTAGACTCAATTTTTTACCTCTATTTTCTCTCTTGCACTAGAGAGCTTTTCATATGCCTTCATATCAGCCTCGCTTGCTAACGGTCGTTGATGATGCTCATTGGGAATAACGTCTGATGAAATGGTCATCAAATAGTCAGCATATACGAGTGAGAATCATGGCAGAATTATTTCGTACCTGGTAGCGGCTCCATCTTGACATCATAATGAGTCTGCAGATGTTCGAGAAACTCCATTTCGTCTTTGTCTACAAAACTGATGGCTAATCCATAGGTACCTATAATAATAAGGTATTTAGTCTCCGAATACGGTGAAATGTGTTATCATGACATCGTTAGTGCAAACTTACCGTATCGACCAGTTCTGCCCACTCGATGCAAATAGGTCTCTGGGTCTTTTGGCATGTCTATGTTGACAACCAGATTCACTCTCTCTATGTCTATTCCTCTTGCAATCTATAATAAGAATATTGCTCAATTGGACAGAAATAAGATGTCGCAGCAGCATGCAACAAATAAAATCAAGCACGTCATACCAGATCACTACAGACAAGAACACGCAATTGGAAATTACGTGCTTTGGACATTGTTTTCAACCTTGCTTTCTGATCAAGACCGCCTGCATAGCTCGTGTACATAACACTTGTAAGTACAAACTAACGCATTCGTCGGAGATAGAGACTACTATATCCTGTACCTGATATGTTCATTGCCGTCCAACCATTCTTTGTCAAATAATTTGCCAAGTCTGCAGCTCTTTTTGTTTGAATGAAAAATAATTGGATCAAAATCTCTTTCAAAGGATTTTTCGATATCATTGGGGGGGGGTTTGCTCTTTACCTTCCGCGATGATTGATGAATACTATACATTGGTAGAATGGAACTTGCGACAATAAATCGGCGAGCTTCTTGAACTTTTCTTCATAGAATTTGTATTTTCCAACCCAGTTATCATCTAAAGGCGGCGACACTACTTGGTAGTATTGTGTAACACCTTCGAGCGACGGTGTGTTCACCGCAAGCATGACGTGGTGTGGTTCGTACGTATAATTATTATGGAGCTGTTTTAATAGATGCTCCTCGTAGGTTGCTGAGAATACCATTACTTGTTTCTTGGACGGAAGCTTTGTGAAGATTTTTCTAAAATATATGCATTATGATGAGTGTGCATACGACGTATATGTAATTCTCATGTGTAGAATGTTTACCTTATCACGGGTCTAAAGTTATGATCCAACAGTTTATCAATTTCGTCTAATACAACCAGTCTTAGACTCTTTATTGGCAGTTTTTTTTGACTCAGCAGAAATTCTAGACGGCCTGAAATCAATTACGTATTTATTAGAAACATGATTGATACGTTCAGTAATAGACTCGTATTCTTTGGCTTCTCTTACCGGGTGTCCCAACAACAATTTGACATCTCTCCAACTTTTTCCAATCCTCCTCGACCGAAAATCCACCAATGAATACGTGACATTTGAGCTTTTTCATAAATCTTCCGATAGATGCGATGACATCCTGGGTCTGTATTGCAATTTCTCTCGTTGGAGCAATTATAAGTACCTAAGCAAAGACAGTGAATTAACGCATGGTAATTGTTACAAAAATACGCTATCAGACATGCTAACTGAAAGAAAGCATTTACTAGCCAATGCGATAATGTTACGTACTTGAGGTAGAGGGTCATTCGGATCAATCATTTCTAAAGCCACTATACCGAATGCAATGGTCTTCCCCGTTCCAGACTTGGCCTGTGCTATAACGTCCAGGCCCAGCTTACCTATCATAGAGTTTCTGTTGAGAAAAACTCCATAAGCTTGAATACATCAGCAATAAAATGATTATCTCGAAAGTAACTACGTTCAAACACCTGGTGGAATTGCCTTTAGTTGTATAGGCGAAGGACTTTCATATCCGGCTTCTAAAACGCCCCGCAGAAGTTGACGATTGGTAATCAATGCCTCGAAACTAACATCTTCCTCGATCTGAACGTCTTTCGTATAAGATGGAGCTTTGACAGCTGACATGCTGGTTCTGTGTAACGATCATACATTGCGCATTTTTAACCTTAATTAAACAAGGAGAAGAAGCTTCAACGTAACGTGATTAGACTGCTCTACTGCCATGACCAGAGTCATGTGATTTCAGAAATTCGGAGGAAACCGTGACAAATCACCATGTATATTAATATACAATACCTCCGAAGTATCAGGATTGGAGCAGGATGAAATTGACACAAGTCAAATCATAGAACATGCCTTATTTTATCACTAATGCTTTTCTTATGTGTGCCTCATTCAAGAATTTATCCATCTCTCTCTCCTCCGGTGACTTGGAGTTGACATCTGGTAACACTTCTGATACCACATCATTTGCTTTACAAACAGGCGCATGTTGCTTGAGCTTGAATCATCATCAGCAGATATCTCTGGTAACATCTCTAGTATCGCTTCCTTAGATGCATTAGCATCCTCACTCCGTGAGTCATTCTGTGTTTGTCCATCCACTACTACAGAACTCTGTTCCACTACTGCAAGCCTAGCCTCAAGCTCTTTATTCTTTTGCTCTAATTCCTCGACTCTAACATCACGCTTTACATTCTCCTCAATAATCTGCTTTAGCTTCACATTTTCAGATTTAATCTCAGCAAATTTCTTTTCAAGTTCGGGAATCTTGGCATTCTCCTTTCTAAGCTC